GAATGTCAAATACAGAGATTAGTCAAGTACAGAGAAAATCTTGACTGCAGTCATGGACAGAGTCTTCTGATGCTCTGAATATGCATGCTGCCACAACTCAAATTAAATTAGAGTTCCTGTTTCTCTGTGACAGACGTTTGTGTCCACAGTGCCTCATTTGGAGTCATTCACTTGGTGCAGACTGCAGGAACAGATTCTTCTTTCCTCTGGCTTCTCCCCTCTCAGTCTGCCTTACTCAGTGGGAAGCTGGTATAAGTAGATTTGGGGGTGCAGGAGTCCAAATGACGTTACCTTACAGCTCATTGCTGAAGTGGGCTAAAGATGTGAAAGCTGGAGAAAAAGCAGTTCTTAAAAAAAAAAAAAAAAAAAAGTATTAACTTGCATCTTATATTCTAAGAAGTAACTATGTTTCATTTTCAAAAGTATATGCTCGAAGCACAAATAAAATGAGAAAAATAATAATCATCACCCAATGGAAAACCATATAAAAAGCCTACCACTTTATTGCCATGGTGATAATAGAATGTTGTGCTAAACAAATCCGTACAGAGCTATACAGTGATTAAATCTTGTGTCATAAAGCAGAAGCTGGAAAACCAGTGAGATCTGTCTCAGTCTTTTCACGTCCCAAGTCAAAGTCTGTCAGGCTTCAAATAATTGCAGGGCTTGAGCACTTCACGAGAGGAGGAAGAGGAAGGACCACAGGTTTCGAATGAAGGAGGATCCATAAACAGCTCCAAACATTTGTAATGTGTTACAGGCTTCTGTAATATGTTACAGGCTTTTGTAGAGGGTTAGAGACTTCATCTACGTGTGTCAGTTACCAATAGGCATAGCTTTACCAAAGTGCTTATAATAAGCGTAGCTTTATTCAAAATTTTATAAGGTTGCTTAAATGTATTTTATTCTCTGTAAATTTAGCATTAATATTTATAGTAGTGCAACTGTTACTTTGTCCTTAGTGGCAGGACTACATTTAATTATAGTCATTTAAAAAATAGTTGGGGATTTTAAAATATTTATATTTTCAGCTTATTAAAATTAAAATGCAGTCTTAACAGATATAATAAATTACACGGTTCTCAAGTGTAAAACAGTGGAATACTTTGTACAGGCCAGAAAATGCCGCATTTCCCCCTTTCCTGCTTTCATGCTGGTATAAATTCCGTAAGTTCCAACTGAGCCATATCAGCACAAAGAGCAATTGTATGAAACATGACATACGTGTATAAATATTTTAAGAATGTATTTGTGTGCTATAGTATTGACCAGCCAGCAAGATTTCATGTTAACTTCAGAATAGGTAGCTGCTTTTGTTAGGGAAGGGTTTGCTGTAACATCTTCTCATCCTCCAAGTAGGTGCTAAGCCTCCTTAACAACTTGACAAGCTGCACAATTCCTGGGATCAAACTTTGCAAGAGTGAACGTTTTAACATGAAGTCTCTTTAACAGTTAGTCCTCCAAGACCCCAAATACTTTTCACCTCAACTTAGCAAAAAAATAAGCTACTTCCAGGCCTTTCAGGAGGTACTTGGTCCATGATAGGAGTGGAGCCTGTACTGCTTTTTTCAATGTTGAGCATTCACCTTGAACAGTTTTCTGTGCTGTGTTACGGGTAGAAGGGATAAATCCATCATTAACATCCCAAATTAATCCACAAGGGAACATTTTTGAGGACAAAACAAATACGAACCAGGATCACAGTGCTGGTTCAGCTTCCAGATGCTCTCAAATCTCAAGTTTTCGTTTTGGGTTCAACCCAAAATTTCCCACGCCCTTGCAATTTCATCCCACCCTGGGTTCACACATATTCTTGGGCTCCTGTGCAGGTTCTGAGAGAAGGCTGGTGGTTAAATTAATCACTTCATCCAAACACGCTACAATTTTGGCCTGTAAATTATGTATCTAAATTAATGAGGTATGCAACTCATTGAGGCACGTTAGGAAAACTGATCATTATGCTATACAATTTGATCACTGAAGTATATTAAAAAGTAACAAGTAAAGTATGCAGCTTGATCATTAAAGTATGGAAAATTTACTGAACTAGTAAAGTATGAGCCTGGGATGACTTTTGTCTCCAATGGCACCTCATAAATAAAACCCACAACCACAAAGGCAAACATTCAAAAACCCAAAAGCCATCCAGGTTTAAGCTGTATTTTTTCCTAGAAAACAGCTGAATAAGGGGAGGTGAAAAAAATTTTGTGGAAATTATTTCTAAACGTTTTACGCATCACGTGGTTCTTTTGATGGCTTTGAAATATGTTGAGATTGAGTCTCTAGAATACACACTGCAGCATCTGTGTATGAGCAGGATGCCCGTTGAAATACAGCTTTGTAGAGTTGAAGGGCGAAGTACTATACAAAACTAAAATTAAAGACATGGAAAGTATTTTAAGCAATATGATTGCAGCGTAATATTCTGATAAGAAAGAACCATGGTTATGACACTTGGCTTGGATGTTGCTAGCCAACAACAGAAGAGCTGAGGAAGGAGACAGAGAGGACGTTGTTGTAGCTGGGATGCTATTAACCACCAGTGGACTCTCTAAGGATATTTGTAAAAGTCCAGACCCGGGAGCTAGGAATATGCATCATGAATATTTCTTGGCTGGCCTGCCGGTCTTGTGATTAATAAGGCCCAAGTGGAGTCCTCTGCATTAAAATAAGTGGCTAATGCAGTCTGGCCTAATGAAAGCTGCTGCTGCGAATCAGACTCCCCCAAAAGAAAATGTAGTCACGTGTCCTTCCCCACTGTGAGTTATTTCAGAGGTGGAAGAGGAAAAAGTAAAGAACTTGTTAAAAGTGATAGTTCAGGGTGCGGTGGTCAGGTCTAGAACAGCATGGTGTTCGTACAGGATCAGCACCGCTGCCTATAGGTGGAAATATATAGGGAAAGGAGGGATTATGATCAGGGCCAAACAATTTTGTTGTTTAGCCTTCCTGGAGCTGAGACCACTGAGCGATTTGCTGCAAGCTTACTAAACCTTCACCTGTCAAGTCCAGCAGTGAGAAGAAAGAGGGCAGGGCAGGTTAAGGAGTTGACAGAGAGAAGTGACAGATTACTGTTTGTGCCCATTCAAGGGCAGGAGCTGAGCTAACTAGGGGTTTGCTGACACGTGTGTCTTTCAGCTGACAAATGGAATTACTGGAATGAGTAGAAACATATTCAGCAAAGTTTTTTTTTTTAAAAAAAATAAGTGATTTCATCTAAAATGATGAAAATTGGAAATCAGATTGAATTCCAGGACTTCTTTGCAGAAAAATTTGCAGAGCATTTCAATATCAAATCAGGCATTTCATTTAGCTTCATCCTGGGCTTTCTGTTTCCACACTAAATTATCCCTTTTAATTTGTGTTTAGCTTCCTGTTCTGAGTTTCTCTGCAGTTTGTCTCATGCATGGTGCCTTCCTCACCACCTGAATGTGTTTTGTTCTCAGCCAGTTCCATCTAATCAACCTGCCTGCAAAACTTCAGGCTTGTTTGTTCATTTTGATGCTCTTCTTGCCAGAGAGAGCACCCTGCTTCTCCTTGGACCAATACCCATGAGGAGGTTCCCCCCAGTACAGCACGTTCACATCTCTTCTTGGAGCCTGACACTGTGAGAACTGTGCCTCCAGGTCCCAGGATTAAGGTCCAGGACTAATTTCTGCTATTTGCTACTGAAAAGCATGTGTGGAGAGCTAAAGCCACTTGTTCTCACATCACGTTGCTTTCAGCAGTGGCTACTACAACCCCTTCCTGTAAATCAAACAAACCAGCTTCCTCATGCTCTTGGAAACTGTTCTTAAATCAACACAGGGCACAGCACTGACACAGCACTTCTCCACAGATGGAGAGTGGCTCGTCTGTGATCTCCCAACCCTGATTTGCCTGCAAGTGATGAAACGCACAGCGTGCAACTCTACAGTGTAGCTGTTGTAACCGTATAGTTTTGGAGCTCAAAACCCCGTGCAACAGAGAAGTGACATTCTCAGTCTTTCCACAGCCTTGCTTCCTAAATTCAGTACCGTTACTAAGCGAGCCGTGGTGCATTGTTTTCAGGCGTGGGGAACTGAGGTTTGTTGCCATTATCTACCTGTGAAATTGCAATACGTAAGGACTTGCTCTACAGAGGTGCTTTTCCCTGTCTTGAGGGGTGGGAGTTTTACGGGTTTATTCATTACTCACTGTCCTCATCTGTTGAACCTCTGGGCCCTCCTGTTCTGGGACACTGATTTGATCAGACAACTGACTGTCATCAGTCGTGACCCATTACACCAGCATCAGAGATTAGCAGGCCCACTGATTATATCCCTACTCTCAGACAGCAGTGCCACAAACTTTGTCAATCCTCATGTAGAACAACTGTGCCCCAGGGAAATACCCGTTCTGAGATACCGGCACGTCTGCGTCTGTTTTCCAGTATTACTGGAACATATCAGGCTGAGAAATCTTAAAGTTCTCCTTACGCCATGGTCTAACTCCCATGTTTCTCTTTAGAATCATAGAATCATTAGGTTGAAATAGACCTCTAAGATCATCAACTCCATTTTGCTTTACCTGTAGCAAAACTGGTTTGAAAGTGCCCCTTCCTTGCTCCTGCTCTCCTGTGCAGTGCCCTCCCCATGACAACAATGTGCTGTTCCTCGTTGTGTCGGGGTATCTGTTT